CTAAAGAAGAATGTGCTTTGACTTACCACATTACAGTTATTTTAAATAACTTACCATTTCAATTTAAAGGGTACAATCGCCATTAAAGTACCAGTCAGACAAAGTGGCGTGAATTCATTTGGGCACTCCGTGCTCTTCGCTTGGTCGGGTGCATATTGTCCGTTTGAGAGTATCGAACACTCAAGACTTGCACGTGCTGGCGGAAAATAATAAATCATGCAAAGTGGTTTCCAGATCAATTTTGCTTTAAATGGGATTACTTCAAATGAGCCACAACAGTATTTCGGCCACTTGTAAATCCTTAAGCTTATAGCTAATTGGTTTCTAACGCGTATAAGAGGTCATAGTGACCATATTTTACTACTATTAAAAAATAACATGATATTTAATATAAAGTCTTCTTTACCATAGAATCATAAGAGAAATGTTTAACGTGGTAGAGCCATGCTGCAGCTATTAGTAGTATAGTTGTAGTACAAATGGGTCGGCTCGACGGGGGAAGTCCACGCTCTCACAGAATACCATCGTAAAATAGCAGCTTAATACTGCTATGTTTCGTATGGTGTGTGTAGAGAACCGGAGACCCTTTTTACCTTTTTTTTATCTTTAATTCTTATTACTAATTTTGCGAATATATTTTTATGTGTGACATTATAATAAAAATATTTTTAATAAGTAGAAATAATATATAGAAATAATAATAATAGAGTAGGTAATACGTAACATTTTAATTTTATTTATTTACTAACTCTAGCTTATAAGTACTTTTTGTAATTACTTACTCACTCTATGGAAAGAAATTTCTAAAATAAAGAATAACAATAATAGTAATAAGCTTCCATCTGTTTGGGTTTTTATTTATTTATGTATTTTTTATGTACGAGGGTGGATTGAAAAGTACTCGGCCTAACCAAGAAAATAAACAAATACTAAATCAGTTATATTTTTATTTTTCTACATAATCACCATCAAGTTCAATACACTTTTGCCACCTCCCCTTCCAAGCATTTAGACCGTTGAAAAAAAATGATTCTTCCTTAGAGTCAAAATATGCGTCTACAGCTGCTTTGACCTCGTCGTTTGTCGAAAATCTTTGACCTCCCAAGTGCTTTTTTAGGTTAGGGAACAGAAAGAAGTCTGATGGTGCCAGATCAGGTGAATACGGCGGATGCGATAACAGTTCAAAGCCACAGTTGTGAATTTCAGCCATTTACTGTACTGACGTGTGAACACGGGCGTTATCTTGATGAAACAGGACTTTTCTTCTGAGCATTCCTCGACGTTTTTCTTTTATTTCCTCTCGTAAACGACGTAGTAAGGTGCAGTAGTAATCAGAGTTTATATTCTGACCCCTTTCAAGATAATCAATCATAATCACACCTTTCGAGTCCCAGAATACTGAAGCCATCACCTTATTTGCCGACAAAATCGACTTAGCCTTTTTAGGGGGTGGTGAACCAGGTCTTCTCCACTGTTTTGATTGTTGTTTTGTTTCCGGTGTACAGTAATGAACCCATGTTTCGTCCATAGTAACAAAACTATTCAAAAAATCATCTGCATCGGCTTCAAATAACTCCAAACAGTCGCGTGAAATAGTCAATCGCGTCCTTTTTTGTTCAACTGAAAGCAGTCGCGGAACCCACCTCGCAGACACCATGTGGAAACGCAACTCGTTGACAATGATGTTTTGAGTTCGTTCATAAGAGATGCCTATAATCTCGGCTATCTCTCTAATTTTTAATCTGCGGTCTCCCATTATTAAATCAAGTACTTTTTTAATATTTTCGTCAGTAGTTGACGTCGAAGGCCTTCCAGAGCGGGGTTCATCTTTCACCCTCTCTCTACCACGCTTAAATTCTGCTATCCATTTTTTGACGGATGAATATGACAGAGCACAATCGCCTAATGTACTGACCATGTCATTATGGATGGCTTTTGATGATAGCCCCTTCTTATGGAGGTACTTAATGACGGCACGCTGCTCGATTTGCTCCATTCGCGGAAATTATGTCCGATTACTTTGTTAATAAATTTATAAAATCACAACTAATTATCGCACACGTTTCGAACTTCACACAATGAACTAGTCTGAACTGAACTAAATAATGTGGGTAGATTTGATTTTTAGAATTGAATGGATCTGTGTTAGGCCGAGTACTTTTCAATCCACCCTCGTATTTATTTTATTTTGTTGATATTTATGTATGTTTATCAATTTCATTTACAATTATATATTTATACAGCCCAACCAGATGAGTGAACTATATAGATACCCCACAAAATAATAATATTATATCAATTTTTACTAATTCGTGTAAAAGTTAAAGGAACCATAAAATGTAAATGAATTTTTTTGAGTCTGCGTTTTATGGCTTCCATATCCTGTACCATTTAACTTTTAATTTAATACTCGTAATTCAACATTCAGTATTTTAAAGTGATTAATTTAAAAAATGTCGTTTAAATGTTTTTATGTCTTAAGATTCTTGTCTTAGAATCATAAATAAGGGTCATTTTACTCCGAGATGACACGCGTCGCGACTTTGGTGCTTGTTCATATAATACTACCGAACCGCCCCGGTACGGTACGGCATACAGAATTTAAAAAATGCTAGAAATCAGGTCTAAAATCTAGACTAGAACATTGTTAGTGGAAGTGATTCGCTTGTATATATTACTAATCTATAATAGTAATGTTAATCGTAGAAATTTCTAGTAGCATCGAAATATTGTCCTGGCAGGCAAAAATAAAATTGTCTTATTTATCTAGGGTACTCATGTGTTTTAAGCATATGATTAAACTTATTTTTGCTTTGTGTAGTTGTAATATTTATGTTAACTGAATAAAGCTTTAGTAGTTCAAATTCAAATCCCCGCGCTAATCAAATAAGGTAAAATTTGCCAACCTATTTTAATAACATATATTTTAACGATCAAAATGATAAAATGGCAGTTGGCGAGCCATATAGCTCGATGAATCGATAATCAAAGACAAAAGAATGGTGGTCGGAGTGTAGGACGGCCTCTTTCTAGATAGAGCGACGACCAGCATATAATGACGACCTGTTAAGACATGCAGGAAGTCGATGTGTGCTGGTGGCTCTGGAGACTCTGAACTGTATTTGTCACATGGCTTGGGAGAGACCTAAATTTACCATCGGACTTGTGAAGGGCTGTAATGATGGTGATGATGATAAATTCATTTTCATATTGTGTTAGCTTTTAGTGTTAGCTATTGTCTAAGCTTTAATCTATAATCAATATTTATAGTGTGTAATATTGTTGGTGTGTTGTTTCTGCATAATATACAGTGTACAAAAAGTGTACATTGCTATATCCGTAAATATATACAATAATATCTGTACTATTATATGAGTATACCAATTTTTATTTGATATATCAGCTTTTAGCGATATCTCAATCAAGTAGACCACTACTAGACTAGACTAGTGCTCAGAATAATAACATACCTACATGTACCAGTAATTACTCTGAGGGTTTGTATCTAACATCGATATTTGACATGTTATTATAAAATTGTGAGGTCTCTAGTAAAACGTAGTGATTATATGCTTTTTGATCTTGAGTGAGTAATATCGAGAGTTTCAAACTATACTGTGATAATATCAGAATCTACCTCCGGGGAAAAAAGTGTAAATTACTAGTTCCCTTTATACACATTTCTATTCCTAGTAGGTATTGCGAAAAAATGGATTTCAGAAGTGACCTGCTTGGATCATTCCGTCGCTTCCTTTAAGCTGAGAATCACAGTTTCTGGTGCGACTGTTGTTACTGCGTGCCCTTGCTAATAATGCATGCTCTTGCCTTTCCCTAGTCTACTGTTCGTTGAACTGGAAAATCTACGGTGCTGTTGCGGAGACTGGTCTGCTCGGGTTTGATATGCACTATTTAGTTATTTATCATAGAATAAGAGAGGCAAACGAATACAGTTCACCTGATGCTAAGTAGATTCTGTGTTCCTGTATTTTCTTGTGACATCTACATTCACCCTCGAGTACGAATCAAAATGCAGATGCGTTGTCACCCCTGAGGAATGAAGACTACGATGGAATGCCTGGTATCCAGTAAAAATGGTCTCCAGTTCTCTATACCATTATATTATTTTACGCTGGTATTCTGTAATAGTGTAGTCCTTCCCCGGTCGAGTCAATCCATTCGTGGTGCAACCATAATATAGATGCAGCAAGGCTCTACCACGTATTAAAATTAATAAAAGGTTAATAAAGTAATAAAAATAAAGTAATAGAACGTGTCTCAGTTACCGATGGTAGGTACTGTTATTGTTTTCCATTTGGTAATCATAATATGCTACGATAATATTTGTCTAAAAAAATGAGGATACCTGCGGCGTTTCATCATTAGTCTCCGGTCAGAGATACCTCATTTAGAAACATTAAATCTACTAGATTTGAAAAAACGTAATTGAAATTTTATTTTCTCACGTAGAGATAGTAATTTCATATTAAAACCATAAAAATATACCATGTACTATCTATCAGTACGAACATGCGTCTTTTCACCCTTGATAGCAGTACACCTAAATAGTAGTAAATAGCGAATCCTAGAATTTCGTGCGGGTCCCGTCTTCGAATTCCAGTGAAAACACGCATTCATGCAAAATAAAAATTGACGAGTTTAGAACTATTCGTATGTACCTACTATCTTATTTAGTTTTAGTTTTACTGTATCTGGATTAATGCAAATGCACGAAGACTAGAAAATGCCTCCATGTTTACGCTTAAATTTGTAGCACAAAATTTCCACAGAATAAATTGTCATAAATTGTTTCACATTTTTATTTATGTTACATAGACCATCTTCATTTCATCGCTAGTAATAAATACCAAAAAATATTTTAATTGTAATATGACTATTCTAGCACCTGATCGTAGCAAAGAATTACATATTATTAATAATAACTACAGAGAGTCGTGTAAAAATTTTACTTTTATTAAATATACTGAAACTTTTTAATATAATTAAGCAGACTCCACTGTAACTGTATCTTCGTCATTTAGACCTTTGTTAGAGTTATCCGCTGATGGGAAATTTGGGATGAATGACCCTCCTTGCGTTGAAGGGAACTGCGGAATTGATGGAAATTGTGGGAACTGTGGTGAAGAGCCACCTCCCTGTGAGGGAGGGAACTGTGGAATCGATGGAAATTGCGGAATCTGAGGCAAAGATGGACCTCCCTGTGAGGGAGGGAACTGTGGAATCGATGGGAATTGCGGAATCTGAGGCAAAGATGGACCTCCCTGTGAGGGAGGTAACTGTGGAATCGATGGAAGTTGCGGGATCTGAGGCAAAGAAGGACCTCCCTGTGAGGGAGGTGACTGTGGAATCGATGGAAGTTGCGGGATCTGAGGCAAAGATGGACCTCCCTGCCAGGGAGGGAGCTGTGGGATTGATGGCAATTGGGGAAGCTGTGGGAACTGAGGAATTTGAGGTAACGAAGTAAATTGAGTTTTTTGTGGGTTTGTTGCATAAGACGGTGCGTTCTTAATTCCTTGCTGTTGAGCCGTATTTATTGATGAATACTCCGATGTTTGTGTTTGTGCAGAACTCTCAGAACCAGATTTTCGTTGCTGATCTTGTTGCCGAGATGCGAATTCTGCCGATTCTATAACAGTCGTATCCGTGTCGCCTGCTTGTTGCTCTGAGGAAATGGCAACTGGATTGCTTGGTTGTGCTGGAGTGCTTGGAGCACTTTGTAAAGGTGATTCAGGTTGACTGGGAGCGGCTGGTTGTAATTGAGGGTAAGTGAGACTGCCTGTTGGAATATACGAAGCGCTCGCTACTGGGTATAATGATGGAAAACCAGGCAAAGGTGAGAAAGCTGTCACCTGCGGGATTTGATAAGCATATTGCGGTTGTATTCCATACGAATATTGCGCTGGTAACTGAAAAATAACAAGATGATGTTATAAAAACAAAAGTCACTTATTTTTTAAGTAATGCTAAAAAAATGTACACGTCAATAGACTCTGTAGTCAATACAGATGACGCAGTTAACTACCCTGCCGAATTTCTTAATTGACTGAAACCATCGGGTCTTCCACATCATAAGCTTATTCTGCGCGTGGGCCCTCTTGTTATGTTGTTGCGAAATTTAAAACCTCCTCAACTGTGCAACGGAACCAGACTTAAAGTAAAATCGTTACATCGCAATGTAGTGGAAGCCACAATTATTACTGGATGTGCGCAAGGGGAAACTGTATTTGTACCAAGAATTCCCTTGATCCCGAATGATCTTCACTTTGAATTCAAACGAATACAGTTTCCCCTCAAAGCCTGCTTTGCAATGACCATAAACTAATCACAAGCGCAGACATTAAAATTTGCGGGTATAGACTTGAAAGAATATTATTTTTCACATGGGCAATTCTATGTGGTTACTTACTTACTTACTCACGCGTAAACTCGCCCAGTAGTTTGATAATTTTGGCACACAGTAATAGATTAGCAAAAAATGTGGTGTATAAAGAAGTTTTGTAGTTTACCAACTTTTGCCCTTGACATCCAGTTATAATTGTGGCGTGTACCAACAGACTCTTTTTCACACATGGGCTCGATATAACCGAACTCCACGCGAACGATGTCGCGGGCAAAAGCTAGTTAAAAATAAGTGTCTTAAATTGCTATTTTAAGTATTTAATAGTGCTGGTCATAATGCATTAGTGAGTTCTATCTATCGCAACTTATATAGTCCCAATTTATTGAGATATTTAAATTTTTAGTAAGAAATAAAAACCGAATGCAAGCACGCAAAAGATGCAATCATCTATGATTGGACATGAGGCAACTTATTGGACTTTCGATAGGCTGTAATGAATGAATGAATTAAATTAATTTATATTATAAAGTTAATCGGCGTTTTGTATGTATCCACTCATATTTTAAAATGAATAATAAAATGTGTTTCCCATCTCAATACTGAAGGTTCACCAAGACGTTTTAATTGTCCTTACAATTACAGGTTAACAGGACCTTAACGTAAGTACAAAAAAAATCAATTAAAATTCCGCTACCACAGACTGTTAAAGTCCACTGCTGAACATAGGTCTCCCCCACATATTGCCTCATAAATATTTGCCATATTTGCCACGCTTGGCAAGCGGGTTGGCAACCGCAGTCTTTTATTTTAAGGCGATAGAAGAAGACGTTGCTGCCATCTAATATGTTTCCCTCTGTCGCCACTTACGACACACACGGGATGATATGGGGTAGTGAATCTTACCCCGTTACTACACGGTACAAATAAAATTCATTGTTATTAAATATTCATCACCTCTCTCGGATTTTAATAATCATGTATTAATAATATTAAAGTGCAGATGGCCCTCTCCCATGACGAATCTCTGACAGGACGAATTTTCCATATTTGATAGGATTAGCCGGCGGATTGGTTATCGCAGTTGTATCGTACATATGACGGTCTTTCTCTCTCTCTCTCTCTCTCTCTCTCTCTCTCTCGTTCATTCCTTTTCAAGGGTTTATTTTTTATATCTGACAAACACAAGATCGAGGGCCGTGAATTTTTTTGATTTTTTCCATAGAAGTCTCTAAAGACAATCACAAGAGGAAACGGTAAAATTTAATTTATTGATATAATTTTAAATAATATCATTTATTCATAAGTAGAAACAGAACAATGGGTTTTAACATGGTAGCGTAAGAAGATCCACTATCTTATATCTTAGCTTGCAGCCTGAAAAGACTTGCGTCCGATGAACCACAAAAACCAACCAGCTAACAGCACATATTCACAGAAAATAAGGTGCAAATAAAGCATTACACCTTATAATCCCGTTGGTGCCATGGTGTGTGGTTTTAACTTGTCGTTCTAGTCATTTGTTACTTTAAGTTTAAGTTCCTTACTCCGGTCATAATGGTAAAAAAATAACTTTTAATTAAGAGTAAAAGCCGCTTCAAAGGACTAAAGAGAATCATCATCATCATCATCATTACAGCCCTTCACAAGGCCACTGCTGAACATAGGCCTCCCCCAAAGAATGCCAGCACGGTCCTGAGCCACCTGCATCCATCGACTTCCTGCATGTCTTACCAGGTCGTCACTCCATCTCGTGGGGGGACGCCCTACACTTCGCCTACCGGTACGAGGCTGCCACTCGAGAACCTTTCTTCCCCATCGGTTGTCGGTTCTTCGAGCTATATGGCCGGCCCACTGCCACTTCAGCTTACTAATCCGTTGGGCTATGTCGGTCACTCTGGTTCTACTGCGTTAGGTCTGGTTATACCCCCTATGAATGACAGTAACTAAAGAGAATATGTATTTAAAATTAAAATTTTTGTAAAACCGACTGCAATATAAATTACTAACAATAACCCAAAAACTATTGATCAGACCTTGATCCAATTTATATGGAACCACATGAGAAGCACCAGCTTTCAAATAAAAAAAAATCATCGAAATCGGTTACACATTTAAAAAAACATACAGTGGAATTGAGTACCTCCTCCTTTTCGAAGTCGGTAGAAAAAGGGCTCATAGTGTAGAAGAATTAAAATCCCATCTTCAGAAGCTGTTATGTGAAAATTACTTTATTACTTGTTTTTTCAAGTCACGTTTTACTTTCCATTAAATTTAATTATTTTAACGACATCTATATATTTATAGAGACGAACGTTTTGGCAAACTGTTGCCGTCCTTTATTATTAAAATATAAAGATTTTAACACTTACTGCGTTAATATATTGTGTCGTGGAGTACGCGAAGCCCTTTGTAGTAGCTGGTTGAACCAGAGTATTCACCAACGGAGTTGAGTGCACCACTGCCGCCGCGGGCCACGAGACCGCGCTCCCAGACACACATGTCGCTGCGCATATCAATAACGCTACCAATGCCTGCACAATGTTTATTATTATTATAGATTTGAATTCCTTAATCATTCTACACAGAATTATGTGTAATCAATTAATTTTTCTAACAATTAATATGTATATTTCTACACAAATATTTGAATACACATATTAAGGTGCATCTCCAAAAATAAAAAACTTAAGTTTGTACAGCCTATATTCGTACGTCTCACTATAAGCCACAGGCCTCCTCTCATGCCTAGAAGGTTCCTAGAAGGAATGGAGTAATAACCAATAATGCAGTGCTTGTTGAATTACAAATTAATTTTTTTTATTCCCTATTACAGGATAGATATATAATGCTTAATGCGTTAATAATGATGTTTTCTCAACCACAATAAATACCAAAAATAATGATATCTGCCTTATTTATTTCCATCGCAGCCGAATACATAGATAAAAAGAAATTATTCAGTATTCTCTTGAAATTTATTATTAATTCTTAATATTTAATTATGTAATAATATTAAAAAATTACATATCACTGCGGCGAAATTGCGACAAAGTCAAATAAATAAATACAATAAAATTCGATCAATTATTGTATTAAATATATATAATCAACACGCATTTTATAATCTGGACCTGTATGTATATATAAATGAACGAAAGAGAATTTTATTAAGTACTTTCACGCAGTTCTGGGCGTCTGGATAATTTGAAATTTAGCAGACGTATAACGAACCAATGACAATACAAGAACTTCATGACTATTTCATGATTAATTTTTTTTATATATTTTTTTATTTTGGATGATCTTTTTTATATTCCCACTGGGATCATTATGTAGGCTCTTATATCCATATGATTTTGCTAATGAAAGTTTAAATTAATAAAAATATATAAATAAATAACAGCTCATGAGCTATGCCTCTTGTATAAGATTCACATAAATATTATACATATATATATATATATATATATATATATATATATATATATATATACATAAAATTAACATATATAGAAAAAAATTACTGGAAAACACGACTCTTCCTTGATTATCCAGAGATGATTAAAAGAAGGTCTTATTCTAAAAATTGTTATTAATTTTAAAAAAACTATTCGTGTACCTACCGAGTAAATTTTATATTTGAACATCAACGAAAATAAATATCTCTTATGAGTTAGTTGTAGTTAATAAGAAGGTTAATATTTCTTGTCATTAAATTCTATTCAAGTAAAAAATGTGTTTATATTGAATGAACTTATATATTATATATTTCCAAAAAAACAACATAAAGTAAGAAAAAATGTTTGAGCTTTCATTTACTATGTGAATACCTTATATAGAATACATTTTTTATAATTATTTTAGTTTATATTATAAGCGAACAAAATAATACTGGTTTAACATTTTTATTTATTTGTTTTATTACAAGCCAGTGCTTGTCTACTGTCCCACCGTAAGTGGTGCAGCCGAAGATGAAGATGAGAAGAAGCGCACCGAATTAGCTTAAAAAAAACTATTCTCACATTTTAATTGAATGTAAAGGCAGATCGCAAATTCCAGTGCGTTATTAGGTTTACAATTTTTAAGTTCATATTCAAATAAAACATATTGTTTAGTAAATAACTTAAGAATAAAAACACACACGCACACACACACACACACAATATATATATATATATATATATATATATATATATATATATATATATATGTGTTATATAGTGTGTGTTAGCGTAAACATCACGCCAATTGGATCACTCTTTACGAAACTAAAAATAATCCCACATGTTATCGTCCGTTACCTTCATATTGGAGGCACCACTGTTTCGAGATCACTATAATACTATAGCCGTTTCTTGTCCTCTTTTATATACTCTATACTACCCCGCCCACGAACACAGAAAGAAAGGAACTAGATGGCGCCGCCGGATTTGTATTCAGTCTATGTACCAGCGCATTTCTTACAAATATTGCACAACGGATACTTAGTATTTTTAAAAGCCAAACCAAGCAAATGTCTTATCTATCAACGATTAAAATATATCGTGTAGATTGTTCTATTTCGAAACAACAATTATTCCATGATAGAGATATCAATAAAACTATTTAACAAAAACATTATTTAATACCAAATGTAAAGAACATTATTTTTACATAGATATTTGGTGAAATAGAATTTTTAATTAGATGAGATTTATTTATATATTATATTTCATATTATTAAGATTGGAATATTTAAAAAACTAAATTTTATATCTATAGTGAACATCCTACTGATTAAAAAGTTTAATAAAAACATAATATTCTATGTAAAATACAATAAAGAAGACTGTTCATTCGAATTAAGTTTATTGTCAAAACAAATCAATATTTTTTTTTTTGAACTAAGTTACATTGCAATTTCAAGATCGTTATTTATGCACTTAGCAAATGTTTAATGTTTCTTACAACTTCTTTTGGAAATGAAGGAAGTAGAGGTTGTGCTCCTTGAGTCCAAGTCGTCTTGAAGATGTTAGCAATCGCATCTAAAAGCAAGAGAAAAACTTTTTCTTGGCGAATCGTGGCAACGGGAGTGTAGAAAGCTGCAAACAGAATATAACATTCATATAAGTTTCCACTATTTTTTACTGTTTACACAATTATTCCCTTTAGATAAAAAAAGATAAAGTGGTCAAAGTAAAGAGATATTAAAAACATTACTGTAGTCAACCCTCTTGATTCGCAATTTTGGTTGCCCAGGAAGGATCACTTCGTTTCCCGTTTTTAAAACTTCGGTCAGCATATTTCTATGGCCATCAGATACTCGTTTAGTTTTATCAGACAGCTAAAATTGATAACACAATTTATTCAACATACAAATATATTCCATAAATATTTCATTAATGTGCGCATTAGCTAGATAATCTACAGATTAACGGGTGTGACGCGTTAATGTGCGAAATTTTACTTAAAGTAGCAAATATCTGCACTTTACCTAGCTAATCTGTTAAATCGCGGAAGACACAAATCTCATTGTATTACTTTATAACTTTAATTATTATATCTTACGAATGATTGTAGTATTTTACTGTTGAACTGTTTTTAATTCTTTTCTGTTGATTTTAGAAAATAAATGTTTAAATTCCTTTAGTCAATTTCAGTTAATTACCCATTGTTGACCAAAAATGTTAGACGAAACTACTTTTGACTTATACTATTTTAATATCTGAAATTAAAAAGTTCAATTTTTTATAAAAGTGTATGCTGTTGACCCCGTGGCCTTTTCAGCTTGATCGAAATAGACTCGTAAGCGAGGACCTACGAGCTATTGAGTGCAATGATCCTGCCGGCGGCAGGGCGGCGCGATACAAAGCGTAGGACGTACGCAGGTTTTGTAAAGATGCAGTTGGTGCCTTAAGGACAGCTTGCTGCTTTTATAGGTTAAGGCGAAAAGGCGGTATAATTTCGCCTTATTTCTAACATATCTAATGTGAATAGTAAAGCTCATTTCATAATCTAACGTTACCCCCATGTATTTCACCTCTCTAACCCAAGGGCTATTGTAGGGGGAGATTGTACCTTTCTTGTGTCGCTTAAGTCTAAGAGGTAACTTTTTTATAGCAAGATATCGCATTAAAAATGATAGCTTTGTTTTTATCAGGATTGAGTTTGATTCTTCTTTTTTTGCACCAATCGCCCAGTGCGTTTGCTGCAGTTTGTAGTGGAATGTATACTCTGAACGAGTTATTACCTGATGAATATATAGTTTTGTCATTATGCAGGCATTTATATCTGGCATCACAGGGATATCGTTCACATAAATTGAGTAAAGAGTCGAGGAGGGCACGGAGCCCTGCTGAACTCCTGCTCTGATGGGTCTGGAAGAGGAGAAGGATCCCACAACGCGAAAATGAAAAGAACGATTAAACAAAAAGTCCTGAATGACTTTGACATTTCTTATATGCACACCTATATGGATAAGTTTATAAAATAAGCCATTATGCCAGACCTTATCGAAGGCCTTAGCCACATCAAAGAACAGAGCACCTGTAAATGCAGGGTGCCTGTTTGAATATGCGACGTAATCTAAGATATGCTCCGTGAGACGGTACACCTGTCGGACACATAGTGTTTAGATCGAAAGTCAAACTGCTCGTTGGGAATATAAATTTTGTCTAGCACTACTTCCTTCAGACGGCAGAGCATGATGTGCTTATAGATTTTCCCCATAGAACTGAACTGGATCTGTTACTGGGAGCCCTATGCCATGCCATCTCTGGGTTTGTTTGGTATGTGAAAACCGATAACAACTGCTTCTTTCCACACATCAGGGAAAACGCAGGTTTTAATAAGACATGATAGACGGCCATTAGAAGGCATATTTACTTTGAAGGTAAGGCTTTAAACACCTTATTATTAAAGCCGTCAGCGTCTGGCGCTTTTCGAAGCTTGAGATTTTTGATGATGGTCTTGACCTCATCGAAGGTAACAGGAGGAAGAGGGTCATCCGTTAGTGACGTGGCGGATATGTTTCCTTATTCACCTTATTCGGGTGGACGGGGTCGACTAGCAGAGTGCTGTGAGAGCATTGGCTCTCGATGCTATTTGCCATGCATTCGGCCTCCGAGTCATCAAACGTGAACTGACCATTAGATATAACTAATAGGGGCATCGAAGTGACATTTTCTGATTTCAGAGCTTTCGCCAACCGCCAGAAGATAGTATATGAAGGCGAAATTTCTATCAGTATGTCTCAACGTGTATCCCTCAGCTGGATCATGCGCTTCTTGATCTCTATGTAGAGGCGGCGCAAATTGGACAATTATTCACGGTTCTGTAATGGTCATAGGCCCTAATTGCAGCAATTTTCTCTCTCAGTAGTCGTCGCATATCCCCGGGGAATTAAAAAGACAATCGCTCGTCACCATGACTTGCCTCGAGGATTCTCCGGTGACCACCTTGATATGAGAAGTAAGATGGGAGACGGCTTCTATAGCCGTTTCCTTAGTGTCAATAACGTCTGGCACCTGATCTAAGTGTTCTGATTTCATAGATTCGAAGTTAGCTTCGAACCTATGCCAGTCCGTCACAGTTTTGG